TGGGTCATGGTGGCACCTGCCAGCTCCTCAGGAAGCTAAGGCACGAGGAGTATTTGAGCCCAAGAGTTCAAGGCCGTGGTGAGCTATGATCACACCACTGCACTCCAGCCTAGGCAAGAGAGTGAGACCCTGTCTCAAATATATATCTATATTTGGGAGGAAAATACCTTAAAGGTTTTTACTGAGATAACTGACAAAATTTGAATATGGACACCACATTAAATAACAGTAAAGTCAGTGTTAACTTTCCTACGTTTGATCGTTATACTGTGATACCTAAAGAAAGTACTGTTCTCAGATATCCTCTGAAGTGTGTAGGTGTGAAGGATCATGATATTTGTACTTCCCCTCAAAGGCATCAGCAATCATTATAACAATAATGTACACATATAGAAGGAGACAGAAATAAATGTGGATGTGCAAAATGCTAACAATTGTTGAATCTAGGTGATCGTAGATGGGCATTTATTGTACTATCCTTGCAACTTCAGATAGACTTGACATTTTTCCCCAAAAAAGGTATTTTTTAATCAAAAGTGCTATCTGCCTTCTGTCCTGCTTATGGGGTGTGTGTGTGTGTGTGTGTGTGTGTGTGTGTGTGTGTTGCGTCCACCACCCAGTTGGTAACATGGGCTGGGCAGTCCTTATCTTCTGGCCTCCCTTGAAAATTGGCTCATCTTGTATAAGTCAGCCGCAGAGGATTCTCAGTGATACAACCACCATCTCAGACCTTGTCACTTGTCACAGACTCCTGCTCCCATGAAACTGCTCTGGGGACAGCGCCATGTCTTTTCCTCCCCACTTCCCACCGTTTTTTCAAACCTGGGGCTGTCTTTCCCCTCCTTGAATCTTAAAGGGAGAGATTGGAGCCCCTACCTCAACAATGCATAGCCCCATGTGCCCAGTGACACTACACTCTCCTCAAGGTGAGCTAATTCTCAGCCCCTCAGGAAGGAAGCAACTTCCCGTTCTCCTCACATCTAGAGGACCCCCAAGTCAAGCAAGGCAGAGGCCAACAGCACACAGACCCACACGTATTCCGTGTTTCTTCCCCTTAGACTTGATTTTTTCTACCACCAAGCGTGGTGGTGAGACCCTGTCTCCCTCCGCTCCTCTGCCCCCCTTCTCTACCCACACAATCCATTGGGGTTCTGAGATGGCTCAGTATATGTATGCAAATATGTGGCTATGTGCTCATGTGCAAAAAATTGTCTAGCCAAGTAGGAGCCGTGCATCAATTATCTATTGCCACAATAATGATTTATAGCAAACTGGCCCCAATTCAGTGGCTTGTCTAACAACTATTTATTATTGTACACAAGACTACAGGTCAAATGAGCAGTTCTTTAATCTGAGTCAGGCACAATAGGACTCCAGGAGGCATCTGTGGTCAGCTGTAGTAGTGCTGATGGCTTTACTGATCTCTCTGGCTAGGACAGCTTTGCTGACTCCTCTCTGCTCCACAGGGTCTCTCATCCTCTAGCAAGCTAGCTCAGGCTTGTTCTCATGATGAAGACAAAGTTCAAGAAGGAGAGAGCTGGAGACCGGCACATATCACTTCTAATGTATTCTGTTGGCCAAAACAACTCAGGTCAAGTGGTGGAAAATAAACAGATTCCACTGCTTGATGAGAAGAGTTACAAAGTCACACTGCTCTGGAGGGAGAGCAGGTTGGAGAACTAGAGCCAAGTTTGCAATTAAATTTTGCAAAAATCTACTAAAGAAAAAAAAATGTGTGTGTCCATGAGTCTGCCCACCTAGGCTTTTGGGAGGTACATGTACATGAGAAATAAAGCAACTTTACTTTTACTGGTAAAAGTAAAGTTAGCAGGTAACAGGTAACTCCAAGTGTGAGCAGACTGCTCACATTCAGAGACTGTTGGCAATGGGGGCTTCTGTCCCCTCAACACCTCTAAGAAGGAAATTATTATCACTAGTGGCAGCACTAGCTAGCAATTCCTTGCAAAGTTTCTTCCCAGGCCCAATGCTTAGCACAGTTGTAGAATGAATTAATCTCTAATAACCCTGCAAGCCAGACTGGCTAATAATTTGTGAGGCCTGGTGCAAAATGAAAATGCAAAATCCTTTATTCTAAAATTGTTAAAAATTTCAAGACAACTGTCAAGAGAATAAGAAGGCAAGCCACTGACTGGGAGAAAATGTTTGAAAAAGACATGCCTGATAAAAGACTAGTATCCAAAATATGGAAAGGACTCTTAAAACTCAAAAACAAGAAATGAAGAATTCGGTTACAAAATTACCCAAAGACTAACAGACACCTCACCAAAGATATACAGATGGTAGCTAGCCTATGAAAAGATGCTCCACGTCATGTCATCAGGGAAATGCAAATTAAAACTATGAGACACCACTCTGTGCCTGTTAGAATGGCCAAAATCCAGAACAGTGATAGCACCAAATGCTGGTGAGGATGTAGCAATCCTTTATTGCTGTTGGGAATACAAAATGTCCAGGCACTGTGGGAGACAGTCGAGCAGTTTCTTAGAAAACGAAGCATACTCTTACCACACAACAATCAATTGTCTCCTTGGTATTTACCAAAAGCAGTTGAAAAGATGTCTGTCTCAAAACCTACACACAGATGTTTATACCAGCTTTATTCATAATTGCCAAAACTTGGAAGCAATCCAGGTGCCCGTCAGTAGTGAATGGATAAATAAACCACAGTACATCCAGACAACAGAATATTACTCAGCACTAAAAAGAAATGACTTCCCAAGCCATAAAACAACATGGAGAAACCTTAAATGCATATGATTAACCAAAAGAAGCCAGTCTGAAAAGGCTCCATATGGTATGATTTCAATTCTCCGACATTCTGGAAAAGGCAAAACCATGGAGACAGTAAAGAAGTCAGTGGTTGTCAGGAGTTGCGGTAGGGAGGGATGAATACGCAGAACACAGAGGATTTTTAGGGCAATGAAACGCTTCTTATGTTATAATGATGAATACATGTCATTATATATTTGTCCAAACTCATATAATGTATACACCCAGAGTGAACCTCATGCAAACTACAGAGTCTGTTGATAACGATAAGTCAATGTAGGTTCATTGACAAGAGTGGATGCCTCTGGTGGGGATGCTGATGATGGGGGAGGCAGTGCATGTGTAGGGTGGGGGTATACAGGAAATCTCTGTACCTTCTGCTCTGTTTTGTTGAAACCTAAAACTGCTCTAAAAATACAATCTCTAAACATTTCAAAACAGCTGCATTAAACTAAGGGCATTAAACTAAGCAAGTTGCCTGCATGGGTCACACTCACATGAAGCCAGTCCCGTCTGCTGGGTCTCCTCACCTGGCCTGACCCTGGCCATTGCACCTAGGCAGTGGGAGCCGCCACCCAGTCACTACTGGGCCCACCTTCATTCATTCATTTATTCATTCAACACAGATTTACCGAACGTCTATGACACCCCAGGGACTGTGCTCAGTGCTGGGGACATCGCAGTGAAGAGACAAGTCCCTGCCCTCAGAGAGCTCACATTCCAGAGGGGGGAGACAAACAATAACAAGATAAATCAATGTATCATCTGTTCGACAGTGAGCAGGGCAGAGGAGACCATGCAGCATGGGGCAGGGGTCCAGTGGGTGGTAAGGGGTGAAATCATAACTGTGGAGCTTAGGGAAGCATCACTGGGAAAGTGACTGTTGAGTGGAAGTGGGGACTGAGCCATGCCCAGTGACTGGGAGGCAGGGGCAGTTTCTGGAGAAAGAGGAGAGTAAAGCAAAGGCCTTGAGGCAGAAACATGGCTGCAGTTTTCAGGGAAGTGCAAGGAGGCTGCTGTGGACACAGGGGAGGGAGAGAGAGGGACGGATGGTGAGGTGAGGTGAGGTGGGTGAGGGAGGTGGGGCCAGACCACATAGGGCCATGGCAAGGAATTTGGTTTTTACTCCAAAGAGAAAGGGAGGCAGGGAAGAGTTTTGAGCAGAGGAGTGACCTGGCCTGACTCCTGTTTCTAAGGCATCAGACTGGCTATTGAGTGGAGGACAAGTGGGGATGGGGTCCATGGAGGACAAGTGGGGATGGGGTCCATGGAGAGGCCGGCTATGAGATGCTGGCCTTCCCCACCACCTGCCACCCTGCACAGACCATCGGCGCGGTGGCAGCACCCCATACTCTCCACCCCTGGGCTTTTGCAGCAGGTTCTCAGGCAGCAGGAGGTGCTGGGAATTAACACCCCCAGGGAACAGCCCTCAGCCAGTGACAAATGGAATTGAAGATCCCAGCTTCTTCACCTCCAGGTGGGACTACCCAAAAGTGTGCCCCACAGTGCCTCCCCAGGCTCCCTAGCAGAACTGCACCCCAATTGCCCACAGCTGTCACCTGGTTGGTGATGTATTCTGTGTGAGTTCCTTCTGTCCTCTACCACCGCTTCCTGGAACCACCTCCGGGAAAAATCACTTGGTGGAAACTTTTGTCTGAAGATGTGCTTCCGGGAGAAACTTCACTAAGAGGGAAGTATAGCCATAACTTAAGTGACTCGAAGGTGGCTCAGATGGTGGTCGGCATCACGCATAGTAAGAAAGGATCCTGGCTGCATTAGGAAGGTATTTACAGACGAGCAGGATATGGAGTCTGCAGGCTCAAGGCACCTGTCTTCACCTCCCAAACCAGGTGCCCAGGCCTGAGGGTACTCAGCCTCCAGGAGCCCACGAAGCGAGACTGTGCCCTGACCACAGGCCCTGGGCCCCGGGGCGCCAGCCCGTGTCCTGCAGGGCGGAGGGGCTGAGGCCTCCGGAGTTAATGAGGTCCCTGGCAGAAGCAGACCCCGCTGAAAATGACAAACGAACAGCATTACAGGCCGTTCCCACAATTACTATCAGTTGGCTGTAATATAAATATGCAAATTCCCTGGGCTTGAACTTTAACACCCTCGGTAGAGACCATTCATCTCTTTAAAGTATTAATTTAAGTTGTAAAAGGACCCATACATCACCGCGTGTCATTTTGAAAACAAATATTAATCAATTTTACCCTCGGAATTGCTACAGCGGAGGCGGCCCCCACGGCTGCGGCTGCGGCTCCGGGAGGCGGCGGCGGCGGGAGATTTACATATTCATCCCAGCTAAGGAAGCCGCGATAATGCAGGTACAGCCCGAAGCCCGCGCCCCCAGACCTTATCTGCGCGCCCCGCCGGCCCGCGGCTGCTTCTGCATGCGCCGCGCAGCGCCTTGCAAATGAGGCCCGCGGACCGCTATCTGGATAACCTTGAGCGCCGCCGGGACAGGAGGCGGGGCCGCCTTCTAACTTCACTTTTCCCGGAAATCAAAATGTATTGAGAAAGGCCAGGCTCTCCCTCTCCAAACGGCAGAAACAGCTCTGGCCTCCTTGGAGGTCCTGAGCAGGACAGGCTGGTCCCTGAAGACAGTTTACTTTTCCACCCGCCTTAAGAACCAGGACACCAGAGTGGCAGGTCCTGGAAGGATGGGGATGACTGGACGTGGTGGTCTTCTGGGGACAGAAAAGGGCTTTGGAGTCATATAGCCCTGATTTCCAAAACGGGGTCTGCACATTCATGTCACGGACCTTTGCATGGATTGATTTAACTTCTTAGTTACATTCGTGGAGAAATGTACCCAAATATTAAAGGTATCAACTCAGAGTTACTGGCAGTTTTAGAAATTATCTACGAAAAGCACCTAGCACAGAATTGGGCATATAGTGAGTGCTGGAATGACACTATCAACAATTATTATTATACTCGGTTACCTTCTGGGGTGACCATTCCCTACTCCTCAATTGCACCTCCTTTGGTCTTTCTCCCCTTGCATCTGAAGTGGGTTTGAGGGACAGGACCTCCTGCTTCTACCCTGCCTACTGCCACAATCTTAGTCTAACAGAATCTGCTGCCCCCTGCCTGAAGATCTGCCACTTCCTTTACAAGAGGATAGGGCCTCCTGGAAAGAAATGCAAGCCGGGTTGAAAGGTGAATAGCCCCATTCCCTAAGGTGCTGACCATTCCCTGCTTCCCCTAGGGAGATAACTCCAACCTCAGCCTGAGAGAGCACGCCTCCAGCCTCCTCGTGAATCAGGGCTTGCAGGAGCACGAGGCTGCTGCCATTGTCTGGTACTGGGGAACGCCCACGTCAAGCCAGCAGAGGACAGGTTGCACCTGCACGGGTGCATGAGAGATGCTCCTCCCTTCCCAGAGTCATCCTATAGTGGCCTGCACACCTTCATCACATCCACTGCATTGTATGCACGTACACATGCTCGTGCACACAGGACACTGGCTCACTGTGTGGCTGACCTCCACATCGCAGCCCAGAAAACCCTGCCTCCCTTCACTGGCCCATCAGCAAGGTTGGAACTGGGCTTCCCTGACGAACTCTATGCATAGAATGGTGCACAGACGAAGGGATCGCCATGGAATGGTGATGCCGACCAGTGAACATCGTCCACCACCTCCTGGTAAGGCTGAGTATCAGCCAAAGTCAAACATTTGCTGGGACAGCCGCAGATCCTGGCTCAAGTGAGGAAAAGAAATAGCTCCCCATCCTTCTCCCTGGTGCTAGGGTGAGAGGAACTCATTTCATCACTGCTAAGCCTGGGACAGGAATCACTCAGGGATACAATAAAACCCCCACACTGTGGTGGTATGTGAACCAAATGAAGTATGTACACCCATACATGTCAAATCACATGTAAACATGTGCACATGTATGGACTGAACTGTGTAAATGTGCACATTGCCCACGTGTGTTGAGCCATATGCAAGGAGATACATGTATGTTCTACCACATGTAAGTGTGCATGTGTGTGTTAAGTTGCATGTGTGCACGTGTGTTGACTCACATGTAAGTGTGTGCACGTGTATACTGAACGACACGTAGGTGTGCGCATTGCACGTGCACATGTGTATCGAACTATATGTAAGTGTGTGTGTACATGTATGTTGAGTCACACAGAAGCACTGCAGGCGCATATGTGTATATCGAACCATACATAAATGTATGAATACATTATGTTGGTCTATAACAATCTGTGCAAAAAATGACATCTAGAGATAATGACAGGAAATAAACACTGTGGCCATTGAACAAAGAAAAAAAGAAAGAAATTCTGTTAAAAACACCTTATATTCAAATTTTTAATTCAAACATTCATCCCACAAATGTTTATGTAGGACCTAATTTTTTCTTTTTAGAGACAGTGTCTCACTATGTTGCACAGGCTGTTCTCAAACTCCTGAGCTCAGGTGATTCTCTGGCCTTGGCCTTCCAAAGTGTTGGCATTACAGGCATGAGCCACCACGCCCAGCCAGACCTAATATATTTCAGGGAAATGTCCAGTCAGGACACCAAGGGGCTGAGTTATCAGGAGTGGAGTAGCCAGAGTTTTCACATAGTTCATTAAACCTAAGACACAGTCTTAGCCTATGAAGGAAGGTGATAAATTCAGGAAATCCCAAGTCAAGTTCTTTCCTTCTGGCCTATGACTCAGTAATTAATCAACATGGTTATTCCCTACTTAAGGAAAACTCAGGGTTCTGAAGGACAGTAAAACCTTCCAGAAAACAAGTGTGTTTTTTTGTTTGTTTTTGTTTTTGTTTTTTGAGACAGTGTCTCACCCTGTCACCCAGGCTGGAGTGCAATGGTGCAGTCATAGCTCACTGAAGCCTCAAACTCCTGGACTCAAATTATCCTCCCACCTCAGCCACCCAAGTAGCTAGAACTACAGGTGTGCACCACCATGCATGGCTGGTTTTTAAAATGTATTTTGTAGACACAGGCCTCGCTATGTTGCCCAGGCTGGTCTCAAACTCTGGCCTCATGCGGTCCTCCTGCCTCAGCCTCCCAAAGTGCTAGGATTATAGGCATGAGGCACTGTGCCTGGCTGTGGGTTTTTTTTAAGTGCATAGATTTTTTTTCTAAGTGGAGTGTTGTAATAAGTTGGCCTTTACCAGGAAATCTATCTTCACGTCATATTTTCCACACAGGCCCAGGGTACCTTGTCAGTAAATCTCTAATTTCCTGGAAGTCAATTATCCGATCAACTGAACAGCAAAGACAATGACCTTGAGCAAGTTACTCACTGTGCTTCCATTTCCTCACCTGTGAAACGGGGACAACACCAGGACCTGTCTTTTAGCATTGTTGTAAGTATAAAACCAGTCTAAAACTGACCCTGATACATGATGAGCACTCAATAATGTTAGCTATCATTAATTGCCATTGTCATCATCATAACTTATCATTGCCAGCAGATATTTTATTTTATTGAGTGTTTTTTTAATTCAGTGCCAGTACTAAAAAATAAAATAGTAGGCATAAAAATTTACACTCCTAGTTTTATTTAAAAATCCAAACCTCAATGGGGTGCAGTGGCTCATGCCTGTAATCCCAGCACTTTGGGAGGCCAAGGAGGCAGACTCACTTGTGTCCAGGAGTTCAAGACCAGCCTGGGCAACATAGTGAGACTCCATCTCTACAAAAAAAAAAAAAATAGCTGGGTACAGTGGCACACACTTGTAGTCCCAGCTACTCAGAGGCTGAGGTCCTAAGATTGCTTGAGCCCAGGACTGCAATTGCTGCAGTGAGCTGTGATCAGACCACTGCACTCCAGCCTAGGTGACAGGGTGAGACTGTGACTCATAAAAATAAATAAATAAATAAATAAATAAAATAATAAAAAACAGGAAAAGAAAAAAATAATAAAATAAATATTCAAGCCTCTGCGTCCACCAGGCCTGCATTAGCCCAAGGCAACCTGTAGCTGCTGGTGGGTAGTGGCTGCCCCTGCAGGCAGAGAGGCATGTGTCCTCCAGCTTGCCACCATGCTGACCCAGTTTACTCACCCGGCTCTATTGCTGCCTGGCCCCTGTGTGAACCTGAGGGTGAGAACCTTGGCATCCTACTGGTAAACAGATGGTAAGACCGAGGCTCAAAAGGGAAAAAGGTGCTGCCAGCGCTGGGCCCCAGGAGCCACATGCCCCTGAACCCTGGCCCAGAACTCTTTCCACACTCCCATGCTAAATTCCTTTGGGCCATAAGGCCAGAGGGAGGCTGACGTCTCAGCTCCAATTTTTCAAAGCTCAAAAAGACCAATCCCTTCTTACTCAATATAATGGATTTCCAAAGACGGATGGAGACAGTAGTTTAGGGTGGGGCTGAAGTTGCTGCAGGAGTGTGTGGCATGTCCTGTGTTTAATGTTTCAGCCTCTGTTCTGTGTTCTTTTACATTTAGCGAATTACCAATATTAAAGCAAAATAGATCTATTAGACAATTACCTAAGGGAACTCAGCTGCTACCATAAAGCCAATGAAGTTATGACAGCAGGGCCCGAGAGGAATCAGAGCTGAGTAAAACCTGTCGAGGCTGCTGACAAATGATGATAAAGTGATCGCTTGTGCCAGCGCTCAATGGAAATTGACAAGGTGAACCTCCCCACCTAATGAACAGATCCAACCTCTGCTCCCGATGAAATGCACTGCAAGTTTAATCTCAATAAGCATCAAAATAAATTTGTTCCCACGTTTAGAGAGAATGCAGACACGTGTGCAGGAACCATAGCCTTCATGGACAGGACCCAGTATGTGGTGTGGGGATGGCAGTGAAGGTGCTGGGGGCTTCCCTGTACACAGTATCCCGGGTGCATCTGCCTAAAAATACCTCTATTGCCCACCCTGTCCACTCCCGGAACAGAAACTGAGGCTCAGATGGTACTTACGTCACAGAGACCCCAACCGCTCAGAGAGCAATTGTCTCCATAACTCTTATTACATGTGCGCAGCTCTGATTCTTATAAAGTAATGTCAGTTACAGAACAATACCAGCCTGCCAGGCAAGACACATTAGAGGAACAAGGCGGGTGGCATGGGGGTGGGGGGAGAGACACCCCCACCATCAACCCTCGGAATACAATGCACCAGCTGCACATTAATAAATATGTAATGTTTGATTAGAAATATGTATAGTATTTTTTCCCTCCCCAAATGCCGGCTCGCCCTCAGGCGGAAGATGGGATCTGGCCCACACTGACGGGTTTCTTTCTTGCTTGCTTTGAAAATACAAACTCAAATGTTTTCCTGTCCCAGCTGTTTCCCATTGTTGCTGTTTATCAGCTTGAAGGATGAACAGTGGAATAAAAAAACACGCTTGCATTTCAAATGTGCCAGTCAGTCACTCCATTGTTCAAAGAAGAAAGCTTAATTGTCTGTGCTGGCAAACTTCTTTTTGGTGAATGTCCAGGTTTTAAGAA